GGTCAGGGGTGGGGTGGGGGAATGAGGATTAGGAAGTGGAAGGGAGGGATGGGGCGAGGGGGTGAATAATAAACTGTCACTTCTTCCTTTGTGTCTCTCTCTATATCTTTTTATTCCTCTCTGCCCCCACCCTCTCCCCTTCACGTTTAAAAAAACAAAACAAGACATATTATATTTATAACCTTCCCTTTACCCCATAGGTCTCTGAATACTGTAACCTTCTTGTCTCTTTAACCACTGTCTCTGTCCGTGTTGTGAGTTTTTATTTTGGATATTACCCGAGGCTGAGATTAACCAATCTTTATTCTACACAAATACCTGCCGCAAAGGTAGAAGGCAAGAGAAGAAGGGGGAGACCAAACAGAAGATGGGAACAAGACTTAAAAACCTGGTTTGGAACCGAAACAACTCAGGCAGGCAGAATAACATGAGACAAAGTGTTTTATAGAAGGAAGGTCTGATAAGCAACGCCCGGCTACTGGTAAAGACTAGAAGAAGAATACATAATTAATTCATAGCAGAAAGATTTCTCAATAAAGCCTGCAAAAGTCAGAATTATTTATAAAAAAAGCCACACTCTTGGAAAGTTTCGGAAACGAAGAAAACTCTACAGAAATGAAATATTTCAAATTGTTCTTCGTCTTTTTGTTATGTTATGGATAATATTATGTTAATGTATTTTCTTAAAGACGTATATTATCTGATGTACTGTTGTATGTTTTTTATACACGTCATGTTTCTATGTGATTGTATATCTTTTCTCCATGGGGGTGTAAGGGGACATGATTATTATGCACTGTTATTCAAGTGCAACTACAAATTTCCTACAAAAGATGCCATTGCCTCTTGTTAGCAAGAAAAAGAAAAAAGAAACAACATGGACGGTTTCTTATTATACTCATTTTTATTTCGACTTTTTTTTTGACTTAGTAAAAAGTGCTGAAATTTGGAACAGATTTTGGGGCTATACCTCCCTCCAAAGGACGCCGTTAGCTCAGCCAGTATCAGGCTGGACTACAAAGCAGACGGCTCTGGTTCGAATCTCAAATGAGGTGTTCTGAACTTAGGTCATTTTGTGGAGTTTCAAGACCTTCCTCCCTTTTAGCTTGGTCCTCTTAGAGGGACATTAAACTCGCAGGTCCCACTTATTAAATAACCCTACAGTGTTGAAAGGGGGTGTTAAATCAATATAGTTTAGCAAAATTCCACCAGCCTCCCATATCCAGTTTTCGAACAATGAATGGAGTTAGGTTTTCAGAGGTTTCAGAGCCCAAACAAAAAATCTGTTAGAAAAAAACAATACACGTTTCATTTGGCATTTGGTTAAAATTTAAGTTTAGGATTCTTTCATCCCCTTTTAGTCACCTCCACCCGTAAGTAACGGTATTTGTAACTTTTCTCAGTTATTCGACAGTGACCTACTTTATATCTAAACCTTCTACTCTAGAACTCACCACTGAAGTTTTCCTTTTTTTCTCCCTATTTCGAGATTGTTCCCTGCTTTTTTTACAGCCCTCTACGCAATAATGTTATCGGTTATATTTGACTGTTTCTGCTTTATACACGCATTGTTTTTGCTCTTTTTACATTACAATTTATTATTAGTCTGTTGCTATTCGAAGCTACGATGGAAGTTAACTTTGACATTTATATAGTTAATAAACTAATAATTACTTTAGTCAAATCGACTTGTCTTTTATTTAGTATGCCTTTACTCTTTTAACTTTTTCTGTTTTAGTTTTTGTAGAATTTCACGGCACTTGCAACACGAACGCTGGCCCACAAGATCATATAAGATTGGAGGTGTTACTAGACACTAACATAATATTATATGTCATAGAGAAAAGGAGGAGAGGTTAGGGCGAAAGATGTTTGAAAAGAAAGAAGGAGCAAACCACACAAGAGCACCTTCCAACCACCCGCCAACTTTTTTCTGTCTGTCTTTGTGAAACATCGTGCTAGGAAAGAGCTAAGCTCACGTGACTGCGAGGGTAGACTTGTGATTGGCTAAAGAGGCTTCATAGTGGGTGAGGTGAGGGGTGAGTTCTGGTGAAAAGATGGAGTGATAGATAGACACGTGCAACACAATAAGGTCATAAAAGTGCCGAAGATTAGAAGTGTTACGAGAGAGTAACAAACACAAAAAAAGAAGGAGGGGAGATAAGAACAATAGACGTTTGATATAAAAGAAGAAGCAAAAGCAAACCACATTAGAGCACCCGCTAACCACCCACCAACCTGCTCTAACGGCCACCTGTTTTAGATTATCACATGTACAAACGGCAACTTCTGATTTAGTCCCTTGTGTAATTTTTTATTTTATAATAACACTGTGATGTAAGACAGACATCTGTCTAAGACGGCCATTTTTCTCCTCGACAATGAGTGCCCGTCCTAGACAATTTCGGCTGTATAATAATGGTCGCTTTTAAGCACAAGGGGGCTATCCCGAAAAAAGCTGTTTTGAGAAAATCGAAGGTAAAGTTTTTGCCCCTTGCTCAGTTTCTTTAAAAGACAAAGAGAGTTTTCTCTATAACCAAACAAATATACACACCAATGAAATCAAACTTCTCACATAGGTAGATCAATGCCCACTTTTGGTGTAGGTCAAGATTTCTGAAAACCTCCAAAATATGGGTTAGCAGGCTTGTCCTTAAAGCGACCATATTATATAATATAGCATGTACTCACCCAGAAGCAGGCATCCAGCACAGCCCCCTCGTACTTCTTGAGTCCCTCCACACCAGACTCGTGGGCGTACGTGTAGATGTAGTTGGCGAACGATGACTGGGGACATACAATGAGACAGAGAATAATAATAATATGTTGATGGTGTTAGGTTCTAACCGTCTAACTAGTTTCTTGAAAAAACAAAGAAAGAACATAAATAGTAAAATATCAAAGAAGCGTAGATGTAGTTGGCGAACGAGGACTGGGGGGACATACGTAGACAGAGAATAATAATAATATGTTGATGGTGTTATGTTCTAACCGTCTAAATAGGCCTACTTTTTAAAAACTTGGATAAGAAAATAAAATAAATAGAAAAATGTCTAAGAATTGTAGATGTGGTTTGCCAACGATGACTGGGGGAACACACGGAGACAGAGAATAATGTGTTAATGGCGTTATAGTTATACTGTCTCTGGTTTCTTGAAAATTTATTTTTCAAAGTGTCACAACCCGC